TATATATAAAAAGCAAGGGACTTGTTATTGTTTTTATGTGCTGTCAAGTCACTTGCAACTTAGAGCAGTGCTCTATCCTGTGCCAACCTCATTGTCTCTGACACATCTACTCCCACTATCCCAATCACTGAATCAATCCATTTCGTCGAGGGTCTTCCTCTCCTATGCTGGCCCTACACTCTCCCAAACATGATGTCCCTCTTCAAGGACTGGTCCCTCCTTGCATGTCCAAACTATGTCAGACAAAGCTTCAGAATCCTTTAGTCCAAGGAGCAGCCCAGCTTCACCCTCTCCAGGACAAACCTGTTTGTTCTCCTAGCAGTCCATGGTACACTCAATACTCTTCTCCAGCACCACAGATCAAAGGCAGCAAGTCTCTTTCTGTCATCCCTAGTCACTGTCCAGCTCTCCAATGCATAGAACGCAATTGCGAAGACTATAGCCCGGATCAGGCACATCTTGGTCTCTAGCCTGATGTCGTTGCTCTTCAATACTCTGGAGAGGTTCCTGAGCGCTGACTTTCCCAATGCAATTCGTCCCTTGATTTCCTGGCTGATGTTACTAAGAGTGTTGACTATGGAGCCAAGCAAACTAAAACTGTTAACTATCTCAATCTCTTCACCATCCATACTGATGCTGCCAAATGGCCCAGTGGTGAAAATCTTTGTTTTCTTGATGTAGAGCTTAAATATGTATTGAGGGCTGCATTCCTTGACCTGCAGCAAGTGTTTCAAGTCCTCCTCAGTTTCAACAAGCAGGGTTGTGTCATCTGCATAATGCAGAATGTTGACAAATCTTCCACCAGTCCTGATGCCACATTCCTCCTTGTATAGCCCAGTGTCCCAGATGATCTGTTCTGACTACAGATTAAAAAGGTATGGAAATAGAATACATTCCTGGTGGACCCCCCTTCCCAGTTTTGAAACATTCAGTGTCTCCTTGCTCTGTTCTGACAACTACCTCTTGGTCCAAGTATAGGTTTCACAAAAGCACAATCAAATGTTCTGGGATTCCCATTCTTACTGGGATTAACTAATTACAAGGTCTGATCAATCCCTTCTGGAAGAGAAGGGACTGATTAGGCATGGTAATTAATTAATCTCATTAATCAATGGCAATATTCTAAAACAAAATGTTTATTAATGATTGTATGAAAAATATAATTAGTAATCTTTGTTGTTGTTGTTGTTGTTATGTGCTGTCGAGTCAAGCGACTCATAGCAACTCTATGTACAAGAGCCCTAAACCCTGCTCTGTCCTGTGCCAATCTGTCTCCAACACACCCACCCCAATTACCCCAGTCACTGAATCAATCCACCTCATAGAGGGTCTTCCCCTCCTGTGCTGTCCTTCCACCCTCCCAAGCATGATGTCCCTCTCCAAGGACAGGTCCCTCCTTACAACATGTCCAAAGTATGTCAGACAAAGCCTCAGAATCCTTGCCTCCAAGGAGCAGCCCATCAACTGTACAAATTTAAAAGGAACAACAGAATTATTTATCCTCTATTTCAAATAATATGTTAAGATTTTATATGGGTAAGTTTGACTGAAATTGGTTTTGCTTAGCTGCTGCTGATTAGTTTAACATGGACTGAACAGCATCATTCTTAGATAAAACTTACTCTAAAAAGTTCAAGAAACACAATTGTTCACCAAGGACTGATTTTTGGACTGAAATATTTATCTCAGAAAATCCTAGTTTCAAACACTGACCTAATCTTAATCGTGTTCACTGAATTCATAATTGGTTGAGGTAAATATGTATATAAAATTAAATCCAGTTCTAGAGGAAAAAATCTGATTCACAGGAAGAAAAGAAAAACTGGTCTAAAAAAATGAAGGATTCAAGAGACTTTGTTACATTGGTCCTTAGAGTCTCATTTAATAAAAAAATAATGTGATAGAGTTGACAAAAGTCCACAGATCACTTGAAATTTCTTAGGAAACAATTTCCATCTAAAACAAAATTCAGGTTACTTTTTTCCTATTTTATAAAAGATCATTTTTTCTTATGACATTTTCACCAACAATAACATAATTATCTAAGAAAATATCTTACAATATTTGGATCTTCCCAGGTGTGATCAAGGAAGTAGGCACTATTCTATATTACTGTGGTAATAGGAGAAAAAATACAGATAAAGTTTCTCTACTTCGGACAACGAAACAAAATGAGTTACCAATCAAATACAAATTTGTTTACAAAATTAATCTTTAGAGATGTACAACTCTAAAATATATTCCAACAAGAAGTCTTCTTTATGGCTTATTTCCAAAGTGCCTATGAAATGTTTGAAGAAAAATTCTGGAAATAAAACTCACATCCAGAGAACTTTGCTGTGACTGTTTTGGATATCTTAAGTGTGTACCAACATCCAAAGGTGTTGAAAGGGTCTCTGAATTTTCTGGACAGAACTGAGACCCAAAGAGGAACTGAGAATCACTGAGACTGGAGTAATCAGTTTGGTTAATATTCCAATTAGATGACTTAATGGTTCTGAAATTAAACAAGAAAAGTACAGCAAATGGTCAGGAGTCATGAACAAAAGAATTAACTACTAATTTCAGAATATTCTGGAAAAAGAGCTAGCTTGTATGACCTCTAACCACCACTATTACCAATAAAGATGACAAGGAAATTTTGAATACTAGATATTTCTATTTCAGCAACCTGGGAACAATGAGAAATTAAAACAGAACTGCCACATCAATATTCCTACAGAAGAGCAGCTGGGCTATAATAATAGTTTGGAGACCAAAGTTTATTATTATTTTTTTTTAGAAATGAAGAGAACATTATTTTTTGTAAAGTCAAAATTTTTAATTGTTAATAGCATAGATAAATAAAATATGGTAACTGTCAGAGAGGAATGTATGGTTAGACATTATATGTATGACAAGAATCTGGAACAAGAGGAGCATTGCAAAGGGGACTTGGGGAGTGGGAGAGGGAAGAGGAGGGAGGTAAATGTGCAACAATAAATGGGTGAAAAACCAATCTCTCTCTAAAACTTCATTAAAATCACAATTAAAAAAATAGTAAAATATGGGCCCAAGGGATTATATTTTAATCACTTGTTACTATCTTTGGAGGAACATTCTTCTAAGTCATACAGCACTCTGGTCAATTTGCTGTGATGAAGTAATTGAGTTTGTTATAACACCGAATCTTATGATATGTAAATATATATATATCTCCCTTGTATTTAAAAGTCAGACGGGCCCGAGGGTCTAGTGTTATTTTATTTTAGAGGAATATTCTAAGTTGTATAGCAATCCTCTGTCAATTTGCTTTACTGAGGTAATCTAGGTTTGCTGTAATGCTGAATTTTGTTACATTGGGGGGGGGTGTCAAATGCCATTAATGGTTGCCCATGGTGGACAGTGTTTGGTGGAACTCCCAGTTTAAGACAGGTTTGGAAGGAAGAGTGGCATCCACTTCCTAAATCACATGCCTTTGGAAACTATAAACTTGGAGAAATGATGATAGTTTATAGAAAGGATTCAGGCCTTTTGTTCATAGGGTCACTATGAGTCGTGCTCAGCTCAATAGCAATCAACAACAACAACTGCATAAAGCTGATGATATAAAAAATAAGCTATGTTTATATATAACCACATGATAAATATAAAAAAACATTACTTTTAATGCAGAAAAGTAAAACTGGAATGAGCTCTATCATATATAAAATTTAAAACCTACTAATATACTCTATCCGAGTACTAACCAGCTCCAACCCTGCTTAATTTCTGATATTAGATGAGATTGGGAGCTGATATACTTCAAATAAACATGTAACTGTTTAGAAGGTAAACTCCTTTAGAGTGTGTGTACTACAGGGAAAGAAGGGAGCAGGATTAGAAAAAGACAGGAGACATAATAAAACAAACAAGCGAGGTCTTGCTTAGATTGAAGAATATAATCAGCTCAGGTCTGCACACAGAAAGATTCATCAGTGACTATTTTTGAAGCAAGGTGTTATTCACCTTGACCCTTTCAAAGACTTATCTTTGCTTATTTTAAGTACTTCCAGTTGCAGACTTCCAGTTTTTTTCTCATACATATTTATGATAGTCTTTAAGCCTCACATATGAAGGGATCAGTGATATTTATAATGATATGATCAAACAACATTTAAGTAGAAACAAGTAAAACACAATCTCTAAGTTTTTATTTGAAAGATCTCAACAATTTGCATTACATAATGCTATTGTATAACCTGAGAAAATATGCTTATTAAACACATACAAATAATTTTTTCCAAATCCTAAACCTCAATTGGTATAAAAGTATATTCTAAATCCAAGGAAACTTCCTATTCATAATACAAAACACAAAGTAAAAATAGTTCAACACATGGAAAGGTAATTATTTGGGCTCGGAGAACAATTTCCAAAGATTAACTAAGGTAATGTGCTATATACATATATTTCAAAACGGGTTGCATAATTATTGCTCAAAATAGCTATCTGTGACTCCCCTCTTGAGCCAAAGAGAATAATTAGCTTGGTTAGAAACAAAAAGCAGCTTCTGTGAGCCTAGTGGAATCATGTAGGATTTACATCTTAAAGCTATGATTTAGAGTTAATACAGATTTTTCCCTTACTTTGAATAAACCATTAAGTACTTTTTTTTCTTCAAGAAATAAAGAAAATAACATTACTGGTTTTTAATTACTTAATAACTGTCTTCAGAAATGTGCTGAGAAACCACCTAATGATAAAAACACACTAAAAGCAACTACAAGTCCATTCAGTATACACTTAAAGTCAGCAACAGTAGGTCCACTGCCTGGCTGGCGGATACTAAAATAAACCCAATGACAGATTAGTGGAGGGAGTAACATTCCAATGAATCTTGTAAGCAGCTGGAATGGCTCTGAACTCCACAATGACTACAAATAATACTATACAATTGAACACATGTCTAAACATTGTCTTGATTTTGCTTCTTGCTATATCAACAATAGTCACCTGAAATGAGGTGACAGTTCCCAGATACTAAACCAAATCTGATTATCACAAGTTTAACAGTTCTTCAGCCCAGTGCTCGACTCAGAGCACTACTCAATAAACATACATGGCTGGATAGACATAGTTTTTATAATTAAAAAAAAACCTGCCAGAAGTAAAAGGACAAGCATAGGAGGGGATGATGGTGTCAGGAGAGGAAAAAAAGAAGTAAAAAAGGATGCATATTACAGTGTACTGCTGGGAAGAAAACACTCTATGAAATCAATACAAGTATAAAACTCTCTAGCTTCACAAAATGTAATCAGAAAACTCACCCAGAGCCTGAGGGAATACTGAGCATCTCTTTGATATTCCAGACATTAAAATCCATTTCTTATGATTACCCCACTACAAAGAAGGGAGGAACATTAAAGAGATTACCATAGTATAACTTCCCCCAGAGATTACTTTTCTTATGAGTACTATATTTAGATGAGAGTCTTTCAGCAGTTACATTCCTATTCAATTGGTGAAAATTTCTATTACCAATAGGCCAGAAAGAATTTTAATCAAGGAAGTCAAAACTTATACACTAAAAACTAATAAGACATTACTGAATTAAAATAATATGTAATGGAGGGCATTCCATGCTAATGAATCAGAAGTCTTAATGTTGTTAAGATAATATTACCTAAATCAATCTACAGCTTCAAAGTTCCCCCCAAAATGTAATAGCTTTCTTTGCAGAAATGGAAAAGTCACTCCTTAAATTTATATGGAACACCGCAAGAAGCTCCAAATAGCCAAAATTAATTTGGAAAAAAAAGTAGCAGGATTAATACTTTCTGATTTCAAAATAGAAAACTACAGTAATCAAGAGCCTAGTTCTGGTACAATATAGACAGTTGTTATTAGGTGCCATCAAGTCAACTGGAACAACAGATATGAATTTTGTTTATCTTGCTCTGTCCTCACAATCTCTGATATACTCAAGCCAATTGTTACAGTCACTATGTTAATACATCCAGTTAAGGGTCTTCCTCTCTTTTTCAAACCCTCCACCTTTCTCAGAATGTCTTTTTTCCAAGGGCTGGCCCTGCCTGACAACATCCAAAGTATGTGAGATGATGTTTCAGCATTGCAACCTCTAAGGAGCACTCTGGGTGGTAGGGGTGGGCAGGGAGGAAAATGTGCAACAATGAATGAATGGAAATCCGTGTTCTCTATAAACTTTCATTTAAATCTCAATTTAAAAAAAGGAGCACTCTGGTGTACTTTCTCCAAGGCAGATTTGTTCTTTTGTTGTTTTACAAAAAGTTTTTAGATGCAACACTAACAGCATAAATAACAAAAACAAAACTTAATAAAAAATTTTCATCAAAAAATTTTATCAATGAAATGATGAGACAAGTCACAGATAGGAGAGATTTGAGGGGAAGCATGCAACTGCAAAGGTTGATATCTGGGAGTTATCTTTTGAAAACTTTTACAACTCAACAGTCAAGCCACAAAAACCCAATCAAAACAGGGAGAAGGGACTTGAATAAATACTTCACACACACACACACACACACACCCCAAACAACGGTCAACAAACACATGAAAAGATATTCAACACTGTTTATTGTTAGGTTCTGCTGAGCTGATTTCAATTCATTGGACTCGTACAATAGAACACAGTATGTTCAGTCCTCCACCGTCTTCACAGTCACTCTGTGTGAGATCATTGTTGCAGTTAACTTTGTATTTTACTTGCTTTCCAACCTAAAGGACTCATCGTCTGACACTATATCAAACAATGTCCCACTGATTGATACTCATAATATATTCACTGGCTAATTACTTCAAAAGTGGATCATCAATCCTGCTTCTTAGTCTGCCTTAGTGCCAGAGAAACTTGTCCACTATGAGTGACTTTGCTGGTTTTGGAAATATCAGTGGCATAGCTTCAAGCTCCCCAACAAGACACAAGCCACCAGAGAATGACAAATGATAGCTGAGAGGAGGAATTAATCATTAGGGAAACAGAAATCAAAACCACCATAAGACATCATCTCATACCCACTAACATGGCTACAATTAAAAACACAGAAAACAACAGGTGTTAGCGAGTGAGGCTGTCTGGAAAGAACACTCACTCATACACTACTGGTGAGAATGAGAAAAATGATACAGCCACTGTGGAAAATATTTTGGCACTACCTCAAAACTTAAACATAGCATCATCCTATGACCTAGTTAGTCCACTTGTAGGTATATATGCGAAATAATTGAGGTTGGGGACTCAAATAGACATTTGTACACCAATGCTCATTGCAGCATTATTCACAATAACCAAAATATGGCAACAGCCACCCTTTGCATCAACAGGTGAACAGATACATAAAATGTGGTACATATATAAAGTTTAATATTATTCAACCATAAAAAGAAATTAAATTCGGATATGCTAAAACATGGATGAACTTTGAAAACATTATTCTGAGTGAAATCAGTCAGTCACAAAAGGACAAATATCTATGAAATAAACCCCACTTACATGAAATATACAGAACTGGCAAGTATATAGAGGCTGCCAGAGCTGAGTAGAACCAAAGGAAAAGGGAAATTAATTTCTTGGAGGACACTGAGCTTCTATTAAGTGTTAACAGAAAAACCTGGAAATGAAAAAGTTTGATGAGGTTAGACAACATTTTGAACAATGTAAAATACGTTGAAATGACAAATGTATATTACATATATATTTAACACAATGGAAAAAAAGAAAAAAAGTCTTGGAAATAGGCAGTGGCAATGGTTGCACAACACTGTGAAAACAATTAGTGTCACTGTGTACTTGAAATAGTTTAAATTATTATGAAATAAAATTAAGTAACTAACTAGTAACCATCAATGAAGTATTTATTAAAATTAATATTTATTATAATGAGTAATACTATTATTAATTTTACAATAAAATGTAACCTAAAAAAACCCACAAGAGATTCTTAATAGAATTGGCTACCAGCTGTAACTATTAACCTGATTTTTATCTATATCAATTTTATTTTTTCAACCTTAAGTTTTAGAGACACTCAGATTCTCACACAACCTTAGCCTTCCCTTTGAAAATATCTATAAAATCCAAATACTTGGTGTTCATGGATTTAGTAGAACAAGTATTTACTGTTGTTGTTGTTGTTATGTACTGTGGAACTGGAATTGATTCACAGCAACTGTAATACGTTTTCAGAAGCAGCAAATTGCATGGGAGGAGACTGCCCATCTTTCTCTCCAGAGCAGCTGATGGATTTGAACCAAGTACAGCACAACTCCTTACCATTAGAGCTCCCTATACAAATCTTTAGAAGGCATTGATGGTTCCGAGTGTGTGCCAGTGTGCTGGTATCAAAGGAGTGGGACTGAGAAGGTCTCAGTTGACTGGAAAGTGGTACTCTCAGACTGGATGACCAAACACTCCCTTGGCAGCAACCCTAGTTAATGGCATTAAACAAAGAGATTTACTGTGTGTGGTAGAATTTAAAATGATATTTCTTCTATTTTGTCAGTTGTCTCATCCTTACTTAGTCACCATTTCTCTGGGTTCCTCATCCAAGCTAAACAAGTTCAGCTCCCCAGAATGCAGGTGGAGGAAGAGCATCCTATGAAGGCTGAAAACTTGACTGTCAGTTATATTCAATAATAAGACTTCACCCCTCAACTAGACAGCTCAACAGAGGCCTTTAGATTTCTAACAGCTCCTTTAAAAATGTTACTGTTTCTTGCTCTTACATTAGTTAGTCAATCTCCATGGTATCTTCTCTGCTGAAAGTAGAGTTGAGATAGTAACATCTGTACTTACAGAGATTACCACCTTGAGCAACTGTAGAAATGAGGTCAAAATGATGGCAGCAAAGGAAGGAATATCTTTGTTAGACAGAAAACACATAAAGCTTATCAGGTAGTTATGGGTCAAACAAGTAGAACACAGCTAAGTGGTAGATTTACAGGATGGAGAACATAACTCCTCTCAGACAGTAGCTCTCTAACTTAGGATTCTAGGAAATGAAGTTCCTTAGTATTGGACATCTGCTTATTCCGTATGAGGCAGAAAGGCAAATAATGAAAGCATATAAAAAGGCAGGCTTTCCTTGACTGACAGAAGTTTTGGATGAACCCAAATTGATTTAAAAATATTGCATGCATTTGTTAAAAAGTAAAACAATCATGAAAATAATTTTTATTTAGGGAAAAAGGCAAGACATTTTCAATTAGATTATCTGAGTTTCAGTAAATTACACGGATTGAAAACAGGTATTTCTTTGAAATGTTTGATGTGATAGCAGACTAAACTATAGTATAAACTACTATAGCATACACAGTGTACATTCCAGTATTAAATCATACACAGTTAATATTCCAGTACTAAATCAGCATCTATAATATATAGCCTGAGTTACAAGGACTAAAACTTGCCTGAAAGAATGCCCAGAAGAAACAGGAATATGTATACTCCAGGCACAAATCCAAAGGCATAGTCATGAAATAAAGAACTAAAGAAAATTAGTTTGGTTTTTTTCTCCCTAACCCCTTTCATCTATGGCACTGCATTCCATACATTCTTCATCAACAAATGATTACTTCTCTTGCCTTTTCCATCGTAAGTTCTCACGCAAAGTCCTCTTCAGAGCAAAGTTAATTCTCTATTACCATAGGGGGGAAAATTCTTTCAGAAGGAAACTGTAAAAATTTTCTGGGGTCCTTTCACATTATTTGTTATCATTAATTTTTCAGAACTATTTATTACTGTCATTGTTCTAACAATCTCTCAAAGGGGATTCTTTTACAACTTCTTACTGTTGTGTACCGTCCTGTCTGAACCACCCCATATCTGACCCTCTGGTGGGTTTTCTGAGGCAGTTAATTGCACGAGAGGAGACTGCCCATCCTCATCCAGCAGATCAGCTAGTGGATTAGAAGTCTGTGCCTTTGAGATTGCAATGCAGCTTTTTACCACTAGGCCACCAGAATTCCTAGGTGTTTCTATAATTTTTTAAGATTTCTATATAAATTTATCTATACAAATTGACAACTAGATGTTTATATAAATTTGGTCCTTTTTTTGCTTTTAAATGCTTTTATTTGCATAGTTTCTTTTTTTTTCCTCTTCTTCTCCCTGCCTCTTTTTTAAACAGTCCCTCGGAAAGGACTATCCACTTAGCTTTGTATCCAAAGACGAAATTTGTAGGTGAAAGGAGTTAGGAGTTAGCCTTCGTTACAGACTGGTTCATTTCAGGGTCGAAAATATGGAACGCTTCACGAATTTGCGTGTCATCCTTGCGCAGGGGCCATGCTAATCTTCTCTGTATCGTTCCAATTTTAGTATATGTGCTGCCGAAGCGAGCACGCATA